GCACAAAACTGTACCCAAAGTGTTCCCACCTAATCGTGGTCCACAGAGGACCTGCACAGCCTTCAAACTCGCCCAGGTCATAGTCAGAAAGCTCAGCAGGTGCAGACCCACCAGCCTCCTTACGCAAGTCCCCAACTAGACAGTCCGCATCCCAGGAAGCCCTTCTCAAGAGGACCAAGTCTTCCAACATGGAAATAAAATTCCATGAAGCAGGAGATGCTTCGATCAGCCCAGTCAGCCACATCCTGCCTCACCTGGAGACAGTATCAAAGATCCAGTGACCCTGGAGTCAGACCCGTGCTCGGCCTTATGACTGTCTAACCACCCAAACCCTCTGCTCAAGCCCCAAAGCTCCCATCACACTCAGAGCAAAACTAACAATCTTCGGACAGCACCAAGCTGCCTCTCTCCTCCTCACAGCCTCCAGGGCCCTCCATGTTCTCAAGTGACCGACACAGGGCTTTGTTCCTGGTTTCAAATGCTTGCCCCCAACATTTCCCTCCAGTTCATTGCGTGGCTCACTACCCTCACCCCCAAGACTTTCCAACTTCAGTGAGGACAACCACATTTGAGGTTGTTGAATGACACCCCCAAGCTGGGTGCTCCTTAAAGTCTTGTTTCTATATAGTTTGTTTTGGTTTTGTTTTTTCTTGGTACTGGGGATTGAACTCAGGGGCACGCAACCACCAAGCCACATCCCCAGCTGAGTTGCTTGATGCCTTGCTTTCACTGAGGCTGGCTTTGAACTTGAAATCCTCCTGCCTCAGCCTCCCAAGTCGCTGGGATTACAGGTGTGCACCACCTCACCCAGCTCTATATAGTTCTTAAAACTTCTGATGCACCATATAATACACTTAGTTGCTGCCCCATAAGGCCAAAGATTTGGTCTTTTCACATGACAAGCCCGCACTGAGCAAATCAATGAGAAGGCCTTAGACATCTGTCTTTGGCAGACTGCTGATGGTGTCACCAGTGATGCAATTTTTCCAAAGGAGCCGTCAATTGGCTTGGTGTTGTGGCATTTCTGTATCCTCCTCCCTTCTACTAGTGATGGTCTAAAATTTGGGGGCCAACAGAAGTGAGGCAAAGAATCTCACCCCCCCACTGGCACCAAGGCTAAATTTGGGGGCCAACAGAGGTGAGGCAAGAACCTCACCCCCCCACTGGTGCATAGGCCTATCCACAAGCATGGTTGAATGCTGGACTGGTAGTCAGTGACGGGTTGATCTGAATGCAGTGGTATCAACCTAAGACAGGAAGCTGACGCCTAAAGGCCAGTTTTCCCATGACGGGTAAGAACCATATGTTGAATTGGACAACCTACCAGGCACGGTCCTAAGCCACATTGCTTGTTGTTTAATTAATCAGAAGGGGGGAGATGCTGAGGGCCATTGCCAAGTAGGAATTTCCTTGCCAGCGTACCCCATGCTGCTTAGAGGACATTCGATGGGACATTGCATGTATGCTTTAGTAAGGTGACCTTGCTCAAAGACCAGGGCGGATCCTCTGGGTTTAGAGCTGATCAGGTTTGAGGAAGTTTCCCTGCTCCTTGAGTTTAGAGCGTGCCCGGTTTAAGACAATATGGGTTTTAGGGAAGTTGGAGGTTGAAGATTATTGCTGCTGGGAATAGGGTGTTCCTGCTGCTTGTTCCCGTTGAGTTCTCGTGAGATTCAAATGGGATTTGGAAAAAAGCCTCATGGAGTAGGTGAATTAGGCGGGCAGATTTTGGATTTCCCCTGAACGTGTGTGGAGGCCGGTGTGAGTTCGGGAATAAAGAATTGCTGTTTGAATCTACAAAGTGTGTGGTGCCTCCTGATTCTGTCCCCAGCCAAGACATTGGCAGAGTACCACAGGGTTCAATCTTCAGTACTGTTTAATAAGAAAACATGGGGCTGGGGATGTGGCTCAAGCAGTAGCGCGCTCGCCTGGCATGCGTGCGGCCTGGGTTCGATCCTCAGCACCACATACAAAGATGTTGTGTCCGCCGAGAACTAAAAATTCTAAAAAAATAAAATAAAATGTGAGACCAGGGTCACTCTTTGTGTGACGCTCCCAAGGAATCCCGTGTGGCAAGGCACTCATATTGTCACTGCTGACCCCACAGCAGTCATTTCCATTCAGGGCTGTTGATAAGTTTGCATTCATCAGCATTCGTCACTTTAAAGTCCCTGATCCAGGCTCAGCCTGGTCCGTCTCCAGGATTCTTGATGGGGCTATCTTTGAATGAAATGAAGGGACTCTGGGGAGGAGAATAGGAGAAAGGTGTGACAGGAGGGGAGACTGCAGGCTCAGCCCCCAAGTCCTGGAGCCTGAGAGGATTAGTGCCCCCCCCACTCCTCCCTCTAGGGCCAAGTCCCCTCCCTCCGGACCAGACCCTCCTTCCCAAGGCAATTAAGTTACCTCAGACCTGCCTAGCGCAGGGGAATTCTCACGGTGCCACTAGCCATCTCAGAACCTAGCTTCTAAGGGCAAAGGTGAAAAGACAATGGGAACAGTTTTCCTTTTTTTTTTTTTTTAAATTAAACTGGGTTTCTGGCATCACTGGAAATAAAAACCAAAAAGCACCCGTATCACCGCGCTCCAGCATCACAGCCGCCAAGGACAAGGGCAAGGACGACACTGGGAAACAGGCGAGCTTATGGAATTTTGAATGAGAAGAGTCTTGAATATTTTAATAAAAGCATAGTAATAGTCTTAGATTTCCTTTAGTGTTTGAAATGGCACAATGATCCACATTTGAAAACTTGCCCCAAAGACCAAAGTTGAACATCAAAGCTGGTAGGACAAGGAAATGACTTCAGGTCATGCCTGCGCCACCTGGTGGTGACACCTTATTTTTTTGTTGTTTTTAAATATTTTTTAGTTGTAGTTGGACACAATACCTTTATTTTTATGTGGTGCTGAGTATTGAACCCAGGGCCCCGCACGTGCTAGGCGAGAGCTCTACCGTTGAGCCCCAGCCCCAGCCTGACACCCGTTTTAATGAAGCCACCCACAGCTCTTGGTCGCTTGGAAGCCCTGAGTAATGCAAGTGCCTACTCCTGGTGGCCTTCCAGAAGCCCCTCCCACATGTGACCAGAGGCACCTTGTGCTCATCACTTTCCTCATGACTAGAGATTAACCTGGTTCCCAATGAAATCAAATTCTCACTACTGCTTCAGCCCTGGGGGCAAAATACCCACCTTTTACCAGTCAGTTCAATCTCAGGAGCCTGTGGCTCTGCATCAAGAGCTGAGGGGGGCTGGGCTGCACCTCAGTGGGGAACGTGGCGCAGCAGGCAAGAAAACCAAAAGGAACCTCAACCTCATGGTGACAGCCAAGGACCCCCACCTGCCCTCCAACAGACACTGGCCACATCCTCTGGGAACGAACACGGGGCCTTCTGGGGGCCTCGGCCTCCCTCCCACCCCCCATGACTAGAGACCAACTCAAGCCCTCCAGATGACATTTCCTTTGATTCTTGGGAAGTGTGCTCTTTCTTTTCTTCAGAAAAAAAATTAATGAAATGGCCCACAAATCAAGTTGTGCTGTATCTACTCATGTTTTTTTTATATAATGAGAATGTAAGTACTAGGTACATACATGCCTATATTCTTAAAAAGAAACAGCAGAAGGCTAAACCAAAAACTCATTTTAAAGAATGGTCACTTTAAGCAGGGCACAGCGCCTCGAACACCTATAATCCAGCAATTCAGGAGGCTGAGGCTGGACAACCAAAAGTTAGAGGCCAGTCTCAGGGATTTATCAAGACCATCTCAAATCAAAAAAATAAATAAATTTATACTGGTTTAATCCCCAGTATAAAAAAAGAAAGTAATAATTACTATTGGATAGCATAGTAAGAGGACAAAAATCTCAAAACATGCCTGGTTTACTTTAAAGCTATGGAAGTGTTTTGCATAACAAAATTACATTTAGGGAAAAAAAAAAAAGTCATAGCAGTATCCAACAACAGGAAGCCAGGAGCCCAGGGTCTGCTGGTATATCATGCAGGCAATTCAGGTCAACACCACACTGCCTGTCCTTGAACAGGACTGTCCAGCAGAGGGGAGATCCCCAGAGAACTTGACTGCTGGGTTCCACTCAAAGAGTTCCCGAGTCAGCAGATCTAGGGTAACTCTGATACTGATACTCTGATACTATCCATGTCCAACAATTTCTCAGTGAGGAAATACTGCTGGTGGAGGTGGGCGGAGGGACAACTGGAAAACCAGTGATATAAACAGATTTACCAAAAAAAATGTAGAGCTTCATTTAGTAACCACGTCAGTGACAAAACAGACATTGTCTTTGTTATACATAGGCTAATGCCATTGGTAACCCAGGTTTTTCAAGTAATCAAATACAAAATCAGAGCAAAAACTAAAATTTAAATTGGAAATAATTCACTGAAGTTTCGTGGAGCTTTTTTTCCTTTAAAATATATATGTTTGTATTTCCACCACGTGTGATGGTGCACAACTGTAAACCCAGTTACTCCGGAGGCTGAGGTATTATGGTTTGGGCAAGAATGGTCATGGCAATTTGGCAAGATCCTGTCTCAATATAAAAAACACAGGATTGGGGATGTAGCACAGACAAAAAAAGAAAAAGAATAAAAAAGAAAGACACCAATGAGGTCACTGTAACGAGTAGATAGATCCTGTCTGGCTCAGATCACATCAGACCAAGTGCACAAAGACATTTGAGGTATCCAGGACATGCACGGACTTGCAGAAGCTGGTTATGAGAAATGGTTGCTAACATAGTTAAGTGAAATAATGTGAAGTCCTCATCTGTGAGAGAGATCTACTGGATTATTTTAGGGATTAAATCAAATCATGTCTGAGATTTGCTTTAAAATACTACAGGGTGGGGCTGGAGAGCAGCAAAACGTGGAGCAAGAACACAGAGATTTAATACACTAATCTGAAGTTGTGTATGTTTAAAGCTACATTTTGTGAGACTTTTAAATAAAACAAATTGGGAACCAAGAACAAATAAAGACCAAAGACCAAAACTGCAAAACACCAAATCTATATTTACATCCACATATAATAACATAACTTTAAGCTGAAATATATCATAAATAAAACAAGTAATGTCTACTGTTTGACAACTTAAGTATCAACAATTAAAATAAATCAAATGGAATGAAATAAATACATAAACAAAAAAATCCAACAAATTGTACCTCTATTATATGTACTGTTGTCTCAAAGGAAAAACACATACAAAACCAGTAGTATCCCAATAGTTAATACTGATGGACAAAAAACATATCTTGAAGTACAAAGGGCTGTGAAAAAAATTGATATTTTTATGCATTCAGAAATGTAGTTGGAAAACAGAGATTTGAAAGCCCCCAAAATTTCAGCATAACACAAACTGACTTGTTTGCAAATAGATTTGGTGATTTTTTTTTTTTAAATACAGGTTTAAATTTCAGCCCGCTATTATCACATCCCCCCTTTTAAGATTTACATTTACAGTCACAGCAAGCTTTCTGTAACACTTACTGGATTAGGCAAAGACGGAATCAATCATCTTGCAAATGTGTTAATCTTCAAAAATAGGCTATAAAAAGTGCAAAACTATGAAAACAAAATCTAGATTATGTACATATGGCTCAGCTTGTGAACAGGAAAACAGGTAATAGTGTCCACTTTCCTGATACGAAGCACTTTGCTGCAATGCCAGCAGACTGGTCTCAGACTGGGTCTCCCCTGAACAACACAGGAGTTAAGACTTCTACCAATGATGCCCCGCGTTGCATAATGAGAAAAAAAAAAAGAAAAAAATCAGGATTATTTGAGCACTTTACCCTTGTCAGAGGAGCAGGGCAAGAAAAATTAGCAGTGCAAATTTATTTTTGAAACAGTTTCTTAATAAAACATTTTGTGGTTACTAAGCCCATGAGCTGCTAATAAACTCAGCCATGGACAGCACATTAAAGGAACATAAAGTTAAAATATCTATTGAGCCAGCTGCTGTCTGTCCTTTCTAAAACCCAAACTGCATGTGCACCAAGAAAAACGTGGTGGCTGCAAAACCCAAAGTGGGAAGGCTACTGAGGTTCAGGCAGACTCCCAGGAGGTGGGGCCCACAGGTCCTCGGTCAGAACAGTGTCATCAATTAACTTCTCCATGTCCCTGCTTAACCAAATACTAGATACATTAAGACTTCCGAATACAAGCCTAGAATTTTCTCAAAAACCTTTCATTCCCTTTAAAATTGCTTCCTAGTATTTGTAAGTTAGCTTTTTTTTTTTTTTTAAACATACTAATTTAGGCAAACACCCCCCAAAAAACTGAATTTCCCCCACAAAATGATTCATGATCGAAAACAAACCAAAATGGCTCCTCATGGAGTTTGGTATGTTAACTCCAGATCTGGATGGACTGGAGGAAGGACTTCTCTGCGGATTCGAGGCTGTAAAGCCCCAGTGAGGGCTGCAGCTGGGAAGGAGACCGAGCCTCCAACCCCCCAGGACACACGCTGGCAACATCTGCAGTAAGAGGGTGCCAAGTTCGGAACCGCTGACCTCAAGACCCTGCAGCACGTTTTCAGAGAGGGTCAATAAGTCCGTTAACAACTGTGTTAAGACAATAGACTGCGGAGGATTCAACATAATACAAGTCATTGAGAATTTTTTTTTAAAACATACATTTTAAATGAGCACAAACAGCAGAAACTTCTCCATGTGTTGAGCTCGACTAGAGAAAAGGAACACACAGTATTTAAACAAGCAGTTTACAACATAGATATTTACAGAGTTTACCTGAGGTGCAAGCATTATATATTTTCCTCCACCCCACCCTCCCAACCCCAAATGATTCCTTTTCAGCAGCGCTCAAGTATGCAAAAACTCCACTTATTTGGTCAATTCTAAAAAAAATATTATTCAGGGACAAAATAGAGATTTCCAGTCCCCATTGGGTACAGCTCAACTGTTCCAACTAGTTTTTTTATTGCTATTTGGTACAAAAGTTAACAGAACAACTTTACAAACTGTAGTGTTCCTCACATGTTCTTTACATGTTCTATGTACAGTACAATCACAGCTTATTTCAGTAGCTTTCACCACTCGCCTTCTCAAAGATGAACTAAAATTTATTTCACGGAGAGTACAAACTTATTTCCAGCAAGACCTACGGGGGGAAAAAAGTTACAGCTGATTAAGATTAAAAAAAAAAAGTTAAAAAAGATTTTTTAAGTATATTAAACAAATAAACAAATGGAATCTAGAAATGCAATGTGTTCCATTTAAAGTTCAAATTCTGCAACAAGTATCAGGAAACTATGTAGATAAAGCTGCACTACTTAAGAGATAATTCAACCAAGAATTAACACTTAGTACCAAATACATCAATTCTGGCAAAGGTCAATACCTCCCATAAGAAACTAGAAGCTTACACAGTAAGAAAGAAAAGTATAGAGATGAGTCTAGGAATATTTAACAAACAAAATGTAACTTAGAATAATCTCCCCTCTGTGAAAAAGGGGGCATGAAACATTTTATAAGCCTCTCAGCAAGCGTCTATCAAGGTACCACTGATACTCCAGGCCATGGGCCAGGGGTTGAGCAAAGGTGTCCCCCCAGTGAGCTAAGCTAGTTCACAGAACACAAGCTCTTTAATCAGTCCCCTGATCTGCCTGCTCATGTCACCTGGACTCAGCCTGGTCTCCTGCGATGACATCACTTCCCACACCTTCTGCCCATGCCCCCTCACTTAAGAACACAACTACATAAGGCTGGTGTGGCCCTGGGAGAATCTCGTTTCTGTATCGCTGGAGAAGCTCTGCCCTGGATCCTAAGCACTTCTCCTGTTTGTATCCTGGTGTCTAGGAGGCACCAGGTGAGAGACTGCTCCAGGAGTAATGGTGAGGACTTTATGGAACAAGAACCTGAGTGGGAACAAACTCTGTCCAGGGACCCCAGTCTTGTTATTCACCTGGGAGTATTAAAGCGACCCTAGGGAAATCATCCTTACACAGATATCCTGCCCTGTCTAAATCCCAAATGAACAAGTTAACGTGAGATAACCATGATACTGGACTCTTCCGGAGCTACTCTACACTTGGCATACTTTGGCATACAGACCCAACATCAAAATAAACTTGTTTGTTTCTATCCTAATGCCTTTTCCCAACAGATAAGATAAAATTTAAAAAAAAAAGTCTTCTCTAATCCTTAATTTTTTTTTTTTTTTACAAGTAGTTGGACACAATACCCTTATTTTGTTTATTTTTATGTGGTGCTGAGGATCGAACCCAGGGCCTCACAAGTGCTAGACTAGCGATCTACTGCTAAGCCACAATCCCAGCCCCTGAGAAGGCTTTGAATAAGCTCCTCAACTAAAACATTGGGCACAAGCTTGGATTCATGCGCACCTAGACAAAAACCAGACTTCCAGACACACATGGGCGAAGGGGACCTTGGGCAAGTTACGTAATCCTAGACTCACCTTGTCACCAAGGTGTACACAAGCACCTCCTAACCCTGCAGCACACACACTTTATTTTCTGCCTGCAGGCTGTGCAGTCTGTCACAGCTACCTAACTTTTCTGCTGGAGCAGAAAAACAGCCATGAAGAGTCAGTAAAATACACAACTGTATTCCAATAAAGCTTTATTTACAAAAATCTTGATGAAGAGCCAGTTTGCTGCCCCCTGCTGTAACAAGGATTAAATGACTACTGATCATGAAACACTTCATTCAATGCCATCCCAAAGTAAATGCTTAGGAAACTCAGGGGACATGATTGATGATTGTTTTACTATTGTCCCCACTAATATCCAAAACCCTGAGCACTGTCACCTGAATTTTAAAACACCTAAAAAAAATCAAAAGCAAATTTATTTTGAAATATATTAAGTAAAATCAACACATTACATTTAATGTAAGACATAGACTCACCTTTCTTCCCAAAAAAATAGGAAATCAAGTTTTTTTGTCATTTGGTCGATAATGTGCATTCCCAATGAAATTCTCATAGTTCCTCTTTTGCAGCATGCTGCTGGATAAGTGTTGGTAGGACACAGGCCTTTTTCCTGGTTGGACAGAAAGTGAAAAGGGGCATTTAGAGTCAAGGTCAAACAACTGGGTAAAATTCATACGGGCTGTTAGTTGATTTTAAAAATTCCTACCACTGATAATCTGATTGCTTTATGCCACAAGAAACCACATACTTGTTTGCCCAGTTACAGTGAATTGTTTGAGAACATTAGCACAAAACTTCAAATTACTAAAAATCTACCTGCCAGGTTATCATTAGTAAGGATTTTTACTAACCAAAGGACAATGGCACCATAATGTATTTTAAATCTATATGCATCATGAGCCAAGACTATAGAAGAGAAAGAAATAAAAAGCCTATTCAGAAGAGGACTTGACTTTTGTCATCAGGACATTTTGATATACATCCATTCTAAACACTGTGGGAGTGGAGAAAGTGGACACTTTTAATCAAAAGGCAGCAAAAATTACTATTTCATCACAACTTCAATAAAAACCACTGGAGTGTGTGAAAGCAATTGTTTTTTAATTCGCTATCCCTACCAGAACAATCGGCATATCAAGTTATCCTTGATAGACTGTTGTCACCACATAGAATCCTTAATCTGAAACTAACAGGAACTAAAAGGTTTGAAAGGGACCTTGTCTCTCTGGGACAATACAAACCAGCATGGCTTGAAGCCAGCAGGACCATACCCAGCTCAATCAAGCTCACCAGGCAGGACACCTGGGATGCTCTACCTACCTTTCCACATGCTGGGTATGTGCCACACACTCTATACAAGGATGCCAGGAGAAGACACTTCCATGGGCAAACTCCAAAATAATATAAGTTTACTACGTACACATAAGGGAAAATAATTCTTTTAATCCACTTGATAACAAATACAGGGGGGCTAGGGATAGAGCTCAGTTGGTAGAGTGCTTGCACAGGCAAGTGGGATGCACAGGCCCTGGGTTCAATTCCCAGCACCACAAAAAATAACAACACTGGACAGGCAGTACAGTTCTAGACTTCTAACATCAGAACCTGAGAAAGAGGGCCAGAAGTTCCCTGGCTTTCTCTCCTGACAGGACGAAGGGCCTCCTACGGTACTTACTGAGGCCCCCTGCCAGCTATGTGTAAAGGAAGGTGGCAGGCCTGCATGGATTATCCTGGGAAGGTAGGAAGTACTCCCCCAAATCCCTCGGCAAGCTGGGTGCACAGGAGAACAGGGGCTATCTGATGAAGGGATGGGCTTAAACGGCACGCGGAAGGAAGGAAGGAAGGGACTGGACCAATGGCTCCCGGTCGTTGTTTTCAGGATCTATTCCACAAGGAGAAAACTTAAAGTGCTATTAATATCTCGGGAGTGAGATTCAATCCTGGAGAGTTTCGCTCTGGAGGATCACAAACCTCTGCCAAGCCTAAGGTCTGTCTACACCCCTAAGGCCTTTCTGGCCCCTGCACGGGACAAAGGCTAGGTAGCCCCCCACCCAGGCCTGGGTCAACCCGAGGGGCGCGGCCGAATTACCTTCCAGCGCGGGGCCGGCAGCCGGATGCCCGGCGGGCGCGCAGGCATACAGCGGTCCCGCGGCGCCGTAGGGCTTCTGCACGGTCAGCACACCCGGCGCGTCCGCCTCCCCGGCACTCAGGAACCTGGGCTTGGGCGGCAGCACGGGCGGCGGGCACACGTACTCCTGCGCCAACAGCGAGGTGATGCTCCTGACCACGTGGTACTTGGGCACGTCACAACCCCTTCTGCAATTGGACGCCGGCTGCTCCGCGTCCAACGCGGCCGCACTGGACTTGAGTCTCTTGGGGAGGGGCTCCCCGAAGTCCGCCACCGAGCTGCTGGCGCTGCGGCTGCAGAAGTAGTCCCTGCCCTGCGGAGCCCACGGGCCTTCCGTCTTCGGGGGATGGTCGACCGCGGCCAGGCCGTTGCTGCTGCCGAGGGCGGGCTGCGGAGGGGTGGCCGCTGCGAGGGGTTTCGACTTGCTCTCGGGTCTCCTCACCTTCTCCGGAGCCGGGGAAACGCTGGGCTTGGAGAACATCTCGGGCTGCGGCGGTCGAGCGGCGCCCTGGCCCTGGCCCCCGCCGCCCTGCTGCGGCCTCTGAGACTTGAGGTTGCTTGGCGCTGGGGTGCCGGGGTCCAGCCCGGCGGCTGTCGGGGCCTTGCGGGCCTTCTCGGGGGGCAGAGCCTTGGGCTGCGCTTGCGCCTGGACGGCCGGCCGCGGCTTGGGCTTGTGCAGACTGGCCAGCGGCGGCACGTCCTTCCCTAGCAGCGCGGGCGGGCAGCCGGTGCGCCGGCTCCGCAGCAGGGACCTGCTCCTGCAGTTCTTGTGGATGTCGGGGTTGTACTTGTGCTCCAGCCGCTGGTGCATCATCAGCACCTCCGGGTAAAACGTCTTGAAGGTACAAAACGGGCAGGTGATGCTGGGGATCAGACTCTTACTCAGAGAAATTGCCGGGCAACTGTGAAGAGCCCCAAGAGACAAATTTAAAGGTTTCTCCTGACAGTCCACACTTGTCTGGTACTTGCCCTCCACTGTGCTCTCCGCCTTCTTGTCCCTGTGGCCCACCGCCACTGCCGGGGCTGCGATGCCTTCCGTGGGGGGCGCCATGGCCACCTCCGACTTACAGACGAGGTGATCTGCCTGAGGTTCAAGCGCTGGCCTCTTTTTTAACAAGTCCATGTGAGCAGGGGCAGGATTTCTGCTCACTCGATCAGCGCCGTCATCAGCTGCATTTTTATTGAAATCCTGAGTATCTTTTTGTGCTGGTGAGAGGACAATGCTGCCCAGAACGTTCTGAAAGACAGGCGTCTCCTTAAGTTGCTTTGCAGGTGGGCTACCTTTAGCATCTTTGGCACCATCAAATAGTCTCTTCAAATTTTTGGTCTGTGAACCGTCAGCGGCTAATTGTATATCTTGGGTCTCCTGACTTTTACCCTCACTCTTGGCTTCCACGGCAACCTCCACTTGCTTATCCTTGTGGTGTCTCTCCAAGTGATACCTCAGAGATGTCTTCTGGGCTGCAGCATAGTCACAGAATTCACATTTGTATGGTTTTTCACCTAAAAAGAGAAGCCACAATAAGTTATCAGAAATGTCCAAATTTAACTTTAGAGACTGGAAGAACCTATCAAACTGGTCGTGCGTTCTTTCCCTGATGAACCTTCTAATCTTAGCTGGGATTTCTCAGGACCTGTTTTATCACCCTTACACTACACTGGAAACTAAAAAGTAAACGCATATCTTTACCATCTAGTTGAAAGCTTGCTCTTAACTTATCTTCACCATAGCCCTATGGATGATTATGATTAGCACCCTCTTCCAGCCAAGAAGAGGGGGCACAGGAAGACTGCTCAGCAGGCAAGTGGGTGAGATTCAAGTCCACACTGCCTCCTCAAGCCACTGTTATCAAGGCTTCCCAAATCTAAGACTACTGAACGGTTGCTCATTTTGTTCTAAATCTTAAAAATGTCTTTAAAATAGAAAATTGGGGCATTTAAAATGAGTTTTAAATAAGACAGGATTCAGTAGTAGTAAACTAAATAAACCAACTTCAAAAGAGGAACAACTGTTCAAGTTACCATGATAGTAAAAGAATAAAAATGACAGCTGCAATCGGCACGCTGCACATTTATTCCCAAAACTATTCCAAGGTTCTAACACAAAAACAGAAGTGCATCACAATCCTTTTAGCTAATACATGCGTTAGAAAACAAAGTCCTTTACCTGTATGCGTTCTGAGATGAATATTGAGGTAATAATTTGAACGGAAAAACTTTCCACAATAACTACACTCTCTCGAGGATGCAAGATGCTTTACTTTTCCTCCATCATCATTTTTATCTTAAAGCAGAAACAAAAATATTCATGTAAGAAGACAGCTGAAGCACATGGATCAGGCATGTTGACTTGAATATATTTGATATAAACATTTTTGAAAGGCATGAAGAATTTTTCTATTAGTTCAGGAATAGAAACGAAAAGGCTGAAAACACACCAAATGCTGCTCTGGAGTTATTTGAGGTTCTGAAGCTTTGTGGCGTCTGCTTTGTTTTGGGGGATAGCAGAGTGCACTGCTTTGATTGGGGGATAGCAGAGTGCAAGATTCGGTTCTCTGCCTTAATCACAAAGTTAAGCATAATGCACTCGGCTGCACAGGTGGCATTCCACTCCCTCCACAGGGAAGGCATAGGACTGGCTGGCACTCCCGGTGCCTGTACCCCCTGGCAGGGGTGACCACCTTCTTTAGAACTTAGGAGGATCGAGTCAATATAAATCATCAATTCTCCCAACCACAGAAAGAAAAGTGTTAAACAAATTACCACTAGATGGCAGCAAGCACAACCTAATCTTCACCAGCAAAGAAAGTTTGGTATTGGGCAAACTCCTGAGAAAGTCTGTCAAAATTTAGCAGAAGTTTTAGAAAGCCGGGTAAATTAACCACAAGTATTCACTTGGGCAGACAGTATCTAAACAAGTCAAAATCTGATCCCAAATGACAAGGTGCTAACTTTTGAACTTCAGTCTTTACAATCAGTGTATCCTATGCACATGAATCCTCAGGGATTCTAAGTACAGGATGATTGATGAGCGGCAAGCACACCAGCCCTCTTTCCAGACAGCTGGATGTGCAGGAGTTAAAACATCCTCCACCTGAATATTTTAATTCTAAATAAATACTCCCTGTGGCAGATCATATTACACACATTACAATATTAATGACTCAAACAAATTTCGGTCATGTCTTAAAATTTGGCATAATTAGGGCTGGAGGCAGAGCTCAGTGGCCGAGTTTCCCTAACATGCATGAGGCACTGGGTTCCAAACTCAGCCCAAATAAAAAAAATTTTTTTAAAGTAAAAAACAGCAGTAACTAAACTGGCCATTTGCCATCTGAAACTGCTATTTCCAATTCAGTGTCCTCCTCCATTTTGCATTCAAGATTGCTTATAGCCAACTAATTCAGACTCACAGACCCTGGTGAGTCTTCATGTAAGAAGGTAGGACAATATAACCTCCACTATCCTACACCTGGAGTCCCATCTAAGACAGTGTCTCCACCTACAAGACAGAGACATGTCCCTGACCTGAAAAGAGGCACCAGGAAGACTTTTAAAAATTAATCACTGACTTTGCTTTCTTAAAACTAAACCTAAAGAAAGTCAGGTTGATAGTACAGTAAGATCAGCCTGGACTAGAAAGCCACATAATCACATCAATTTAGGAAAATCTATTCCCTAAATATGGAACACCAGTTTTTTCTTACAACCACATCCAACTAGCTGAGTTTCTAGCTGGGTTTAAACCTGTATATTTCCTACGTCCAGTTCTGCAATAGGACTTATGGTATGTTGCATCATAAAGGTCTTTATTTTAGAACAAAGGATGTGAAGTTCCCACTTTTGCCTGGCTTCTTCTGCCTTTTAGCATCACACTTCACAGTGCTGCTGTTTAAAGCAGAGTAAACTTTTTAAACAGAGGGCTATTGCAATAACTCATGGGAGCTGAAGACAAGGGTAGAGGAACCAACTCTGCAAACAGGGTAATGGGAACAAAGAAAAGTTAAGCAACAACAATAGGCCATAAACCACACAATGGCACAACACATTCAAGCCAAGCTATGGCGCTGCCACCTGTGGCTGGGTCCTGTCTCCACCTGGAGGACCTAGTCCAGTTTTTCCACTCTACCTACTAGTGACTGGCTCTTCCCTTTTTTCTCCCAGGGCACAGGGCATCTCCCAGCACTGACACCAGGAGAGATCACTCAGCTGATGAGAAGCCTATGGTCAAAACCTTTTCTATGATGTCATGAAGGGACCGTCCTATTTTCTCTAGATGTCTGGAACTGAAGATTATAATATGGTGTGTGCTGGGCTCCCTGGGTCCCAGGAGCCTCTGTAGATTATATAGCCAATAGGAAACTCAATAAATCAATTGGGTTGATTTATCACTTAACCAGAGAGAGAAGTGGGCACTGGATTAAAAATGGGTGGCAGGGGAATTGGAGTTGTGGCTCAGTGGTAGAGTGCTTGCCTGGCATGTGTGAGGCCTTGGGTCTAATCCTCAGCACCGCATATAAATAAGTTAATTAGAAAAAGGTCCATTGACAACTAAAACAAAAATTTAAATGGGGAAGAGTCTAGCGCACTGTGCCTTTGAGAATACAATTTCATGGAAAGGAGAAGAAGGCATCTGTTCTAACCAAGACCACTGGTTTGTAAATGATGTCGTTTCTCCTTATTCACTTGTCGATTACACATCCTACACATGTTTTACAAATGTTTTAAGCAGCAGAATCCTTTACTCAAACAAATATTAAGCCAGGCCAGGTGACACATGCCTGTTATTCCCAGTGACTCAGGAGGCTGAGTCAGGAGGATTGAAAATTCAAGGCCAGGCTCAGCCAATTAGCCAGTCTCAAAATAAAAAATACAAAGGTCTAGGGATGTAGCTCAATGGCAGAGCACCCCCAGGGTTCAATCTTCAGTAACCCATGCCCCCCAAATTTAAGAAGATCTGAAACTCCAGGTGACATGAGGATGGGATACAAGACTGGACATGGGTGGACTTCTCGCGCCATAGATGCCACCCACTAGGATAGGAAACAAGATATAAGCTAGGCCTTGGCGCTGGTTTCTGCTTCTATAAATGCCACTGACACGCTGAGTTTACTCAACAGTGAGATTTCTTAAAATTCTCTTTGGTGTGAGCCAGGCACAGCGCCACCCGCCTATAAATCCAGCCACTTGGGAGGCTGAGACAGGATCACAAGTTTGAGGCCAGCCTTGGCAACTCAGCAAGACCCTGTCTCAAAATAAAAAGGGCTGGGAACGTAGCTCAGTGGTGGAGTACCCTGGATTCCATCCCCAGTGCCTAATTTTAAAAACACTTATGTTTCTATCTATAGATAGATATAACATGCATAGTATATACACACACATTCCACACACCTTCACACTGCACACACACCTCCCTTTCAGGTGTTCACACTCCCTGTCCCTGACTTTGCAGACAAACCACCTGAGTTCCTGAGGGACCTATTCACAGACCCTAGCCTCCCTACGCACAGGAGAGGGTCATCAGAAGTACCAATGCCTCTCCCAGCAGTCGCATCCTGGCTCTGGCTGACAGGCGTCCCAGGGCACTGTGACCACTAGACATGCACTGGAGTAGAGACAACAGAACTGGGAGGTGACAAATACAGTTGGTTTACCAACAAAGTAGGAACGTCAGAAAACCCCAGTGATGGCTAGGGCTCCCAAACTGGGTGATGACGTTCCAGGCCACGTCACTCTAGTGTAGGGCCATCCTGTGCGCTGCAGGATGTCCAGCAGCATCCCTAGGCTCCACCCACAGGGTGCCAGCCCACACTGCACCCTGCACAGCTGAGACAATCAGAAAAATCTCCAGACACTGCCAGATGTCAACTGACTGGGGGCAAGATCACCCCCACCAAGAGCCACCGTTGAGCCTGAGGCACAAAGTAGAAGAAAACGGTGTCCCCTGTGGACAGAATTTACAGAGCAAGGAGAAACCCTAGCAGGCCTTTAACTCGACTCTGTTATTACAAAAACGAGAGGGAGGGCCCGCCGGGTGAAGTGACGCACAGTGGCACCAACAAGGCCTGGAAGAGGAACCCCGCTCGGAGCCCTCCCAGCCAGTGTTCTCCAGGACACACGGAGCAGCTTACCCAAATGCAGCCCTTCAGGGAGCCCATCCTCAGACCCGTCTTCAGAGCCACCTTCTCGGTCCACAGCCCCACCATCATCCAGAGCAGTGGTGAGGTCTGGGGAGCACGTCCCAGGCTGCCTTCCATCCACGGCCACGGTGGGCGACTCAGCGTCCGCCCTCCTGTCCCGCTTGTGCACACGTGAGTGCAGGACTAGCTGGTGGTAGGTCCTGAAGGCCCGGCCACACTCAGAGCAGTGTGTGGGCTTCTCTTTGTTGCCACACACCTTGGGGTCCGCGTCCGCGGAGGGCACCTCACCATTGGTGTGTCTGGGCTTCTCTTTGTCTTGCGAGAGCCCTGTGCAACTGTTTTTACTTGTTTTAGACTTTCCAGAACCTTCCGATTTACTCCCACTCCAAATTTCTCCAAGTTCTTCTTTTTCAGAACACGAGTCGTCATTGTCGGTGCTTCCCTCCTGCCCGGACTCCTTCACTTCTTCCTGGGCGATGGCAACCTTCCCTTTGGTGGCCAGCTGCCACGCCTGGTAGGTGGTGAAGGGATCCAGCTGAGGTATGCACCTCATGGGCCTGCTCTCAGACTCAGGGTGAGATCTGGGCATTAAGTTCAAGAACTGCAGAAACTCCTCCCGTGGAGACATCATTCCCTCCTGCATTCCCTCTTGCTGAGAGTCGGTCTGTGTACTGCTGGTACCGGAAGCAGTATCTTTGGTGTGTACCTTACTGTGCTCAATTAGATTTTCTTTATTTGGAAATAGGAAGCCACAAACCATACAGATCTTGTAAGGAGATGAGATGCTCCCGGCCACGTGTACCTGGACAACTTCATTGATGGTGACAGGACTCTCCAGGCCTTGCTGCAGTTTGTTCCTGGCACCCGACTTGCCATTGTGCGTCCGCATGTGATTTTTAAGGAACCACGGCTCCTTGAATCTTCTCCCACACATGTTGCACCCGTAAGTGAAAGAGTCCTTGTGTTTCTTCATGTGGATCTCAACATCAAAAGCAACTCTAAATGTCTGTCCACATACTTCACAGCTGAATTCTTCATTTTCTTTGCAGCTCGTGTCCTTTGGTGGTTCTGTTCGCACCTGACTTTTATCCAAAGGACTGAGATACTCAGCTTCCACACGCAAAACTGCTGGCTCACAGAGGGTAGGCCGGTGCTGCATTAAGACGTGTTTGTTAAGGTCTTCTGCATGTGTGAAGGTCTGACTGCAAAACATGCAATCCAAGGGCATAAATCCTTCTATCTGGATGATATTTTTTTCTTGTGAAGCTCTGAAAGGTACAGCGGTGGTCCCTTTAATTGACAAGGCATCACCCACCTCCCCCTGGGTGCCAAGAGCGCTGCTGATGACTTCTGGTCCATCCATGTACACTAGTAGGGATTGAGTTGGCATGTTCCCTGATGTGCTAGGACTGTACACAGAAGACTCAAAGTTTAGCTGGGGAATTTCTGGAGTTGGAATAAGGCCACTTTCAAGACTTGTCACTCACACCTCCAGCAGCTCTGGGCTTCAAAACTAGAGCAAATATGTACTGTAAAGTTCAAAGCAAATTGTATACTCCTCCACCTTCTTATCTTCAGAAGTTTGTAGGAAGTGCAGTGACAGAGTGTCACTGGCTCTTTGCACAAACAAGGCACAGATTGCCTGATGCCGTGATCCAGACACAAATCAGCACCAAGCGTTAGTCCTCCTGGTCTCCATTGAGTGAGCCCTGCCACTGAGCAAGAAGTTGATGCCAGCAATATGGAGACAAGGGATTTCCAAAACCTAAAGAGAAGTAAACAGAAGCCATTAGCTGCACTTAAAGGACAGGCGGACGACACAGTTCCTCCACAAGGCAGAGATGGGACCTAATGCAACTGCCTCCCTTAAACTCACTCCCGCATCCTGTTCAACATGCTAGTTAAGCTGCCCCCAGTGCTTCCCCAGCCAGCACACTTGTATATGTCACACGGACAAGAGCTCTGAAAGGCACGGTGCTTCACTCATCTCAATCTAAAAGGTCAAGTTTTAGGGCAGAAATTGTTAAATTCAGCTGAATCTACTTTAAATGTCACCAAGACGCACACAGGTACCCTAGACACAACTTCCACAAATCTGAAAACTATTAAGAGGTCATGAAAAATCAGATGACAAAATTGAACCACTTCAGGTAAAAATCTTAAAAGCCAATCCCCAAAACTGCCTTACACAACCAAATTACCAGCAAGAACAAGATACGCTCAAAGGAAGGCTCCAAGGTGACACAGATCAAAAACATAAGCATACGAAACAGAAACAATTCCTCTAGTCCTCACTGCAGAGACAGAACACCTCAGAACACTCACTCTTCTTGGCAACAGTTCTTTGATGAACTGGGGTTCACTGGATATTCTAACCCCCAACCTGCTGTCGGCATCCCAGGTTGCTCTCAACCACTCTGTGCCCTCAAGGAGCACCAGGCAGGCTTCCCAGTCCAAACAACAAGTAAGGCAAGGCACAAAGCCGCCTGTCTGCTGCACCTGCACATCTCACTAAAGCCCATTCCAACACGCTTACTCTTCCATCAGAAAATAGACCCTCCGGTTTTTAACCCCTCTTGCTCATTATAGGTTGGCCAGGTGGAAAAGGATTACTTTTTTTAAAGCTGTGCAGACTCTGATTTGGAGGCTGATTTTCACTCTTGGAAGAGAATTGTCTCTAAAGCCAGTACTCTCCACTCTTAGGGCACCCAGAGGACTTGTTTCTAAATAGTCCCTTTTACTTTAAAACTTCAGCTGATTATTCCTACCAAGAAAACAAAGATACACAAACTGCTCCCACCAGTCAATACAAAACAAAAACACACCACCTCCTCAGCTGCCCAGGTCTCTTCCTCCTCTTCACACTCAACCCCTTATCTTTGGTTTTGAATCAATTACAGCTTCTTTCCTACAGAGGACTCCAGACCAGAGATGAGGGTGGAGAAAGAATACCAGTGTTTTATCTTAATTTCTTTCTGTTCTTTGTTGCAGTCACAATGGAGGCTGGTTACCTTCCTGTGTGACCTAAGAGAACACGGCAGGCTCCTGAGTTCTAGCCTGGCTTAAGGCAGGGGGGCTCTTAGAGCTCCCAAGGTCTATGGTTGGGGAGAGAGTGGCTCACAGAAGAATACCCCATGGCTCTGTGACTCCAGATGTTTTGATGTTCCACTGTGGGGCTGACAACTTACTCTACAGAATTCATTGAAGGCCAAGGTCCAAGCAGTATTTTAACTGAAGAACTGAGCTGCAGATTCTAAGAAAGAGATGATCACACCCTGACAGCACTGTTTTCACCAGCCAAAAACTAGAGGAGAAATACACAATGCATCAAGTTCTACAGAAAGCCACAGGAGTGATTTCAATTTGAATACATTGTCACTTATTTGAGGTCTTTCCTCCTCTTAAAGGCTAAAATACCCCTTTTCAAAAAATGAAAGTGCCAAACAAGTAGTGGAGTGTTTTATTACTACTAGTGTCCTTACTTGGCAAAATCAAAGTCATCCCGTGTCGGACATCAACTATTCTTTAAAGGAACTTTGGCTGGGCTTGGGGTGCAGCTCAGTGGTACCTACAGAGCAAGCACCAGGCCCTGGATTTGACCCTCAGTATCCCAAAAATAATTTTTTTAAGTTTGGGTTCTTTTGCCAATCCCTTTAAATTTAAAAATTTAGGAGAACTCCGCCTATCTATAATACCCTTTACAAAAAAGACCCCATCCTTACAATCAACTACTAGATGAGAAATTTGATGTGGATATATCCCTTTTTCCATCCAGGGTACCAGCACATCTCAATTACTGTAAATAACATCTTGGAAAGGAGGTTTGGCACCATTTTTATCTGTGAAATTTTCAAATGTCTAGGGCCTACGGAGGTCAGCACAGCTCTGTAGGACAGGACCTTCAAGACACTTCAGGAGAGTGAAGGCCTGAAAAGGAGGCAGAGCTGGAAAGGGTGGAAGGCAAGAGCTCCAGTCTCACTAGGTGGAGAAATGGAGACGTGGGCGGGTCCCAGAGGAAGCTTCCAGGGCAGGTTCTGAAGGCCACAAACTGTGCGAAGCTCTCCTGGCACCAGAGGACCTTGAAGTCACCATCGAGGCTTGTTCCCGCCTTTTTCCAGCAGAGCCCCCGCTCCTCAGTAAAGATTACACCCTCCAAACCTTTCCACTGTATCTAAAACCATCCTGTCAGGAGTTGGATCTGGTGACGTGTCTTTAATCACAGCTACTGAGAAGGCTGAGACAGGAGGATTCCAAATGTGAGGTCAGCCTGGGCAACTTAGCAAGACCTCATCTCACATAAAAAACAAGAAGGGCTGGATCTGGGGCTGTAGCTCAATGGTAGACCACCTGCCTGGCACATGTGAGGCATTGGGTTCAATCCTCAGCGCAACATAAAATTAAATAAATAAGAAGAGCTGGGGATGTAGCTCAGTGGTAAAGCACCCTTGGGTTCCATTCCCAGTGCCTTCCCCCCAACCCAAAAAAAAGAAATGAAAATTAAAAGGCTTCGAATGCAGTTCAGTAGCGGAGTGTCACTGGATTCAATCTCCAGTACTATAAAATCCTGTTTGGACAAATATATATATAAATACATATACAATTTTAAGATTAAAAAAGACAAAAATAATTAAAAACATCCTGTTTGCCTGCTTCTTAAAGTAAGACCCTAAGATAGCAAAGCCCTGCTGGCTTGTTCCCGATGCCCTGGTGCCAACACAGAGTTGGTCCCTCAAAACACCCCTGCACAACCAGACAGCAAAGAAGCGAGGTGCACACCTCTGGACACATCCATCAACCATAACCATCTGATATTAAAATTAGCATGAGTGGCCAGGCCTGGTGGCTCAAGCTTGTAACCCTAGTGATTTGGGAGACAGAGGAAGGAGGATCCCAAGTTCGAGCCAGCCTCAGCAACTTAATGAGGCCCTGTTTCAAAATGAAAAATAAAAAGGACTGGAGGAGTGCTCAAGCACCCTGGGTTCAATCCCCAGTACCAAATAATAAAATTAATAATAATGTGAATGGTCATCCAAACTTCTACATGGCTACCTAAGACTGCTGTCTAATTACACCTCTGCAGTCTCAAGACTGGAATAACTGAAAGCAGGAATCATTTTTGATCACACATAAGGCTGACCAGCACAAAGAAAACTGCATCAGTTTGGGGGCAGAGGTGCAGTTCAGTGCTAGAGCCCTTGTTTAGCCTGCATGAAACCCTGGATTCTGTTCCAACCCCACCAAAAAAAAACAAAAATGCCTAAATGCCTCGCTTGAATTTATACCCTCTTCTCACGCAACCCACCAAAACAAATCCACTGGGCATGCCACGGAAACCTCTGCAAGCAAAGGCCCTGGCTCTGAGATACCACAGAATTCTTCAACACTAAAGCACCAAATAATCCAAACCAGGTGTCCATTACTTAAAACCAAAATCTTTAAAGTGGTTGTGATAACAAAGAGTTAAATAACATCAAAACTTACCCAACAGAAATTTAATCATTGTAATTAGTGTGTAACAACAGTGTGCAGTGCTGCTGACAAACTGTCTTTCAGAACAAATAGAGGGAGAGAAAGAGGACATTCTAACCCTGATTCAACACCACCACCCACATACTTCTAGTGGGCAGCGAAGTACACATTCTCAACACACCAAACTTATTAAAAAGAAGAGACTTTTGCAAAAAAAAAAAGAAAAAAGAAAAAAAAGAAAAGAAAGAAAGAAAAAAAGGTGGAGGGGGTGATTTACTGGGATGCTTCACCACTGAGCTGCATCCCCAGCCATTCTCATTTTTTGATAGGTCTCACTAAATTGCTGAGACTGGCCTTGAATTTGGGATCCTCCTGCCTCAGCCTCCTGGGTTGCTCTAACTACAGGGGTGCACCTTTGCATCTTGTGAAAATAATCTGTTCCCTAAGGCACCTAAGGCAAGTGGCTATTCAGTACAGAGGTAGTGTCTGAAGGAAAAGGAAGGTTCAACTTACACTGTGATCACTTAAGTAGGAACTTTTTTTTTAATGTACCACAACATAATCTTTGAAACTCAGAACTACCTAACTATAGCTGCCTGAAATAAATCTGTTCAAGTAACTAATTAGATAGTTATTTGTGTCTAACTACCTGTAGATCTTAAAATTAGCAAACATGACACATTTCTCTATCAAAAGAGATGTGTGTTCAATCAGGGGCATCTGCCGTCTTCCTGGCAATGTCTGTGGCTGGAGATGCCTTGAGACAAGCCCCTCACTGCTCCTCTAAACAGCTTATCCCACATCCTGGACAAGGGGCAGTTAGTTAGCCACCACAGGACATAGCAGTGAGGTATTGCAAATCCTCAAAAATTGTCAAAAACACATAAAAATTCTACCTATAGTCAAGTAATTTGCAGTATTCATACAAATCTACTTTTTCCCCAAGTTAGAAAAGTGTCCAAATAAATGGTTATTGAATCAGTCAACTTAAAGTCTACTCTCTGACCCATCATCTCCGTCCTCAAAACTATAAATATAACTCCAAACTCTGGTTAGGAACTTGGAAGCTTTTAAGTTTTTCCTTTATGTTTTACACATATTATTTTTCTTAATCCTACAAGTGAAGAAAACTACATAGTGTAGTCTACAATAGCAACCAACACCTGGAAATTTAAATCCTTCAACAGTATCAAGGAAATCACCAAGGTCACATCCACAAGCTAAACAGTCAGCCCACATTTTTTTTTTTTTTTTTGTGGAAAAAGGCTTGAGTTAAGAGAGATTAAAATATCCAAAGTTTAAATTCAGCATTACAACTCAAACCATCACAGGCAAAAGAATGATCAAAGGCAGAACCTGGGACACTATCTCATTGTTTCAAAATTACATACAAATACTCAGGCCTAAACAGGATAAGAAAAAATGCCAAATATATGTGTGTGTCTACATTATATATATATATATATATATTTGATCATAACTAGAAATGGCTTGATTCAGCCCAAATCAGGTAAGGTCTGCTAAAAGGATCTTAATAACTTAAAGCACCATGTATTAGTTTTAGTTTCAAATTATCAACAGTAGTAGATACTGTGATCTATAAACTGGCTTTCAAAAACTCCACCTTGATCTGAAAAAGCCATAAGGGAAATTAATTTTTTTTAATTTTGAATTAAGCAAAGCTACCAGTGAATTTCTTCTATTACTTGTACTTAACTAGTATGACCCTAAATATTTTGAAAAGATCTGGCAGGTCTAACCACACCCCAGGGGAGGGGGTGGGGGAAATATCAGCAATTTAAAAAATAAACTGTCCTATCTTTGCCTGTTAAAACTCTACAAAGAAAACACTTACACGTACATACCTACACACATAAGTAACTGTATGTCACAAAGTATGATACCTGTCACACTGCATCATACACACACAAGACCACTCTTCCCACAAGGCAACCATCACATCCAAATTAAACCCAACTGAACTAACTTCAGGATCAATAGAAGCAGAGGCAATGCCTGGGTCCTGAGAGCCTTCTTTAGAATGTCTGAATATCCCCCCATCTTCTGTTGACTATTAAAATCATATCTGGTTCTTGTAAGTTACCTGTTTGCCTTCCAATCTAAGGCAAAAAAAAAAAAAACCCAGTCTCCTTTCAATAACCTAATCACTATTCAAAAGATAAATATATGAAACTGAAGAAAAATTTTATAAATTACCACCCTCAAAAAAAGAGGAAAAAAACATTTCTGGTATAATGGTATTTTTAAGTTATCCTGATTTAGTACAAGTAGAAAGGTTAAAAAAAAATACTCCTAATTGGTTCAAGGACAAAACCCATCTGGAATCTAAAATTACCATCCATTTAACTACATCTTCAATTTGAAAAGTTGGCAGACTACAAAGTAATGAACACCAACACAAGAACACTACTCAAGCCCATTAGGAACCAGCCTGACTTTGGGGTAGTGTGGGTCAAAAACAACTGGTCAGGCTTAAGAACAAAAGCCAGGGAATTAAATTCATTCTCTCAGAC